TGAGTATTCTTTAATAGATACCGAGTTAAATTTAAGTTCGTATTAATATTAATACTTTATTTAATCGCGATTGCTTCGTAAGATTTCAAACATTCTGGTTAGAGAAAGAATGATAAAAACGTGTGCACAGAATTTTAGAATAAGATAAAACGAATTTCAAAATAGAATGCGCAGGTGACGTTCATGTGTTCTGCATATTGCGTATCGTATAATGCGTTTGGTGGCTGTGTCTGTAATTGCAAATACGATAAGGAAACGTTGTTTGCATAAAATCGAAAGTAGTGCCTGCAAGAATATATTACAGTTCGCAGTTCGCAATTCTGTGCAATTTATCCGCACGTCATCCTATTCGACGGCTAAAGTAAGACTTTTTTTTAGGAGTAGGTGTTTATCGGTATTGCTATAAGTTTAATTATATTTTATTCGAAGTACAGGTGTCGAGTTATTTAACGGACGAGCAGAAGCAGAATCGAAATATGTTGGAAAAATTACAATATCCCGAAGCGACTCGCGACGAGACCGTAATTGATAATTATCATGGAGTTGAGGTTAGAATAAGGCGAATTTTGTCATTTTTGTGGAATCCGTATTTAAGATGATACGCACCGTTATGTTGCTGTTTTATAACGATGCTACGTTATCGAAATAAGTCTGTTCACTGTCCAAGCATAAGGTTGCATATAGATATTTAAATTGGAATGTTACTTAACAGGTGCCAGATCCGTACAGATGGTTGGAAGATCCAGATTCAGAGAAAACCAAAGCATACGTTGAAGCCCAAAATGCTATTACTAGACCATACTTACAATCATGTAGCGCGTATATAGATATTTATTGTCGATTGAAACGACTGTGGGATTTCCCAAGATACTCGTGCCCAGCTAGACACGGAGACAAATACTATTTCTATAAAAATTCAGGTTTACAAAATCAAAGGTAATCGTTGCGAATTATTTATTCGATCGTGAGGCCATAGTACAAAATTTTGTAATTTTCAGTGTGCTATATGTACAAGATACGTTAGACAGTGAACCTGTAGAATTTTTAGATGTAAATACATTCTCACACGATGGTACTATTGCCATTTCTATTAGTAAATTTAGCGAGGATGGCAGTAAATATGCATTTGGACTGTCCAGCAGTGGATCTGATTGGTGTACAATTAATTTTATGAATACAGAAACTGGTATGGAAAATATAATTTCTTTAAAAATAATTCTATGCATGGTAAGTGTTATTTATCCTCTTATTTAAGTATACTTATTACCAGGAAATATTTACTATTAGGTGAAGAATATCCAGAAATTTTGGAAAAGGTCAAGTATTCCCGGATAGCATGGACTCATGATAACCAGGGGGTATTTTATGGTTGTTATCCAAAACAGAAAGGTAAAACTGATGGTTCAGAGATCGAGGGCAACAAAAATCAGAAGTTGAAGTATCATGTTCTTGGAACGCCTCAGTCGGAAGATGTTACTGTAGTTGAATTCCCCGAAGAACCTCTATGGAGGATGTAAGAGATACAAATGTATTTGTAAATTAATTGACCGATTATAGATTTTACGTATACGTTCTTTTATATTTCTGATATTTTTAGAGGTGCACAAGTTTCCCAATGTGGAAAATGGTTAATTGTTACACCTGTGAAGGATTGTAGGGATAATTTAGTGTACTTCACAGAATTGAAACCAGGAATGAAGTTTACCGAACAATTAAAGTTAACCCAAGTCGTCGATAAATTCGAAGCCGATTACGAAGTTCGTACTGAACAGCGGTGCATCTATCTTTTCCCGGTTTTAATTGACTCAATTATTTTTATCAATTGTATTTTCTGCACAGTATATAACGAACGATGGCAGCAAGGCTATATTCCGGACAAACAAAGGTGCACCAAATTATAAGCTGATAGCTATAGACTTGCTGGATTATAAAGAGGAAAAATGGATTGACCTTATACCAGAACATTCGCATAATGTACTGGATGCGGCCTGCGCGGTTCATGAGGATAAATTGGTAGTTTGTTACATCGAAGATGTCAAGGTGAAGATAAACAAGCGGAATATCTTTTTAAAAAATTAAAACATGTAAAGACTCGCATTCATATATCCTGTATCCTTGCAGAATGTTTTGCAACTGCATAGTTTAAAGAATGGTGAAAAACTGAAAACATTTCCACTGGATGTAGGCAAAATAATTAATTTCACAGGAGATAAAAAATACTCCGAAATATTCTATCACTTCACATCCTTTTTAGTTCCTGGTATTATATACAAAGTTGATCTCAAAAATGATGAGGAACCACAGGTTGGATAAAATTTTTAATAAATAGAATCTTAAAAATTTCGTAGTTATATAAAGGCATGCATATTTTTGTAGGTGTTACGGGAGATTAAAGTGAAGAACTTTGATAAAAGCATGTACAAGACTAGTCAAATATTTTATACTAGCAAAGATGGTACAAAGATTCCAATGTTTCTAGTAATGAAACATGTGAGTGTACATAAATATTGCTTCTAGGATTGTACGCGAAAAATAGTGTAATTTAACGATTTATTTTATGTAGGATGCGATTTTGGATGGTTCTATGCCGGCTTTGTTGTATGGTTACGGAGGTTTTAATGTAAGCATTCAACCATCGTTTAACGTTACAAAGCTAGTTTTTGTACAACACTTAAATGGAGTGCTAGCAGTTGCGAATATACGCGGCGGAGGGTAGGTGACAGTAGTGAACAATACTATGGATATTTATGCAAATTACCCCATCTTCACCTTTTCGTTTCTTATATCCTTATAGGGAATATGGAGAAAAATGGCACAACGGTGGAAGATTCTTCAATAAACAGAACGTGTTCGACGACTTTCAAGCTGCTGCCGAATATTTAATTGAAAATCGGTATACCACATCATCAAAATTAAGTATTTTAGGTGGTAGTAATGGCGGATTGTTGGTGGCCGCGTGTGCGAATCAAAGACCTGATCTTTTTGGTGCTGCAATTGCTCAAGTCGGGTAAGTAAATGCAGTGTACAATTATTAATTTTGACGATCTTAGGCACAACAACTTGAATCTACTTTCAGGGTAATGGATATGCTACGTTATCATAAGTTTACAATCGGTGTCGCTTGGGTTTCTGATTACGGTAGCTCCGACGACCCTAAGCATTTTGAGAACCTTTTGAAGTATTCACCCTTGCATAATGTAAAGGTTCCAGTAAATGTACAATATCCAGCAACATTATTGCTAACTGCGGATCACGACGATCGCGTAGTACCATTGCATAGTCTAAAGCTTATTGCAACACTGCAGCATACGCTTGGAACATTACCGCAGCAAACTAATCCTTTGCTCATTAGAATAGACACCAAGGCAGGACATGGCGGTGGAAAACCAACCATGAAAGTGGTCAGTAACTAAAAAAGATTACTATTACTTTTACTCCTAATGTTGACCATGTTTTTTTATTTTAGATCGAGGAAAGTACGGATATTCTAACATTTATTGTCAAGTCGTTGAACTTGAAATTCAAATTGTAACACATGCCAAGAGTATTAACATTTTTATATTTTATATTAAGCATAAATCTCTTGACGTGTTCGAAAACATTTTGCAAAATATTGTTCTAAAACATTTATAATACGCTTTATCGCAAATGACTTTATGAGACGAATTTCATTTTTTAAAGAATAAAAACATTAAAAACCGTCATTCATGCAGTTTACTGTGCAGTGTTCGTGTGTTCGATTTTACTAGACAAATAACTACACTAATCTAAGCAATAAATGAAATTGGTATATCTTTTTTTTATTATTAAATACTAAATAACAAATATAAAATTTATTATTAAAGTATGGCATTGGTATTCGATGGCTTATATGACTCTGTCGTTGAAGAAGTAAAAAAACATGATGAAACATGATTTGTGTGTGTCATTAGACTTGCCTTCACGACTCCTTTTAATACTGTGAAATTCGATATCATGTGTAAAATGGAACAATAGATGTTATCATTTCCTGTATCACAACCGGCGATATTTAAATCATACAGACAGCATTTCTTTTTACTTGTAGACGGTATGATGTTTTATACTTTACGTAATTTATTCTATCATCTGTATTGCGCGGCGTACCTTTTTAACAAGGAACTTCTGCTTATCGTAAAATATATAATTAATTAAATTGTTAATCGTGTTGCGAATTTATACTTCTAACGGTCATCATTTACTTCATAACATGTCAATATAATAAATCTTGCGTGATCGTGACGCGCAAACGCATTTGTCGTTACAAAACTTCCACGATAAACTTACTGTGTTAAAAAATAAATATCACTATGATATATACGCGAGAATGGATGTGCGTATATTTGTCGTATATTTTGTAAAAAATTATACCCTATACAATTAGTAAACTAGTGCTCGATAGGTCGTTGGTAAAAATATTTTTATAAAAGCGACGAAGGTTTTGTAATTCTTATTAGTACTAACATCACATGTGCGATACCCTGAATATGCAATTAATCATGGCACGCGATCGTTCCCTTTCTTGTTTAAATGACCAAACGTGGACAATCCATTTTGATGTCGATTATCGTGGATGAGATTGAAATTGAATATTGTAAGTTCGTCATAATAATTGGTGGTCAACGTCGGTGGTAAACAATGCCTTAAAGAACTGCGAGAACAGTTTCCCCATGTATTGTTCCTCTTTGACCGGCCACATACCTTCCATAAAACCAATATGGCCGCCTCGCGACGTTACCACAACGGCGACCTTTTTCGTTTCCGATATTTCCTTTAATGGAATTGCTAAATACAGAACAATAGAGAATTGAATGTTAATCTTGGAGAATGATTATCTGAAACGATTATACGTCAAGCTGTGGGAAGCTAATTCAAACCTTGAACCGGTTGAAATGGGTCGTCAGCAGCGCTGAGGCATAATAGCGGCACATCAATCAAGTGCAATTTGTCGTGTATAGTTGCATTAGAATAGTACTCCTCCACGTCTCTGTAGCCGAACTGTTTCACCGTGAAGTGCGAATCAAACTCTCGCACGGTTTGGCTCTGTCAAGCAAAATATATTATCTCGATAAAAGACATATTTTCATCCGAAAACTTATTGTATGTAGAGTACTCTTCGCGCACGCTTGATCGAGCTTACTTTTAGGAGAGTATCTATGTCCACATCGAAGAACCCGCTTTCTGTCGCATAATGTAATCGTTGTATGTTTTTACGCAGTGTTCCAGCCAAATACTTGTTCATCATCAAATTAAAATAATTCTCTTCCGTATTCTTCGTCGCCGCGAAAACGTTCCACGGTACAGAGATTAAGAAACATCCTTTTAATTTGTTTTTCGCCATTGATCCTTGCTGCGCCAAATAGTTACCCAATATGAGCCTGCGAATATCGATCAATTTTATAGACATCGATTAAATATTAAACATTAAAAAACGTATATCGTCGGTGGGTAATGATAACACGTTCACAGGATCGATTATATAGATGAAATTCGAGGAGATATACAAGGTAGAGATAACATGAATCATGATTCATGAATCATGTCAGAATGGTGGGGATAGTACACGAGCAGGCTCGAGCCAATTGATTTCGCTTTGGCTTTGCAATAATTTCATACAAAGCCGGTGCAAAAGTACTCGCTAGTTTCTTTTTATAGTAAATATGAACTTCGTAACTGGACAGAGCATAATGCGTTCCAACAAACTATGATTGAATGATCATTACCCTCCCATAGAGATCCCGGTCGCTCCAAGGGGCACATTGGGGTAAAGCTTTCTCACGTGTTCAATAACTTCGGACAAATCGTCGCTATTTGCTGCGCAATACGTCCGCGGGGTCTACAAATGTAACAGCGAATAAGATTAATAATATTCCTGAAAAAAAAGAACGAAGTATTTCATTAGGTTTACAAATGTTTCACCTTGAGTTCTACGCCTCCCAGGCCTCTGTTATTGAAAATCACGCATCTTATGCCGACTTTTTTAGCCGACGTAATTAGGCACTTTATGTATTCCGCTTGACTGGCACCCGTGAGTCCTGGTAGGATGATTACGATCGGCGAGGTCGTCGAGGATCCTTCCTCCTCCCAGTCCAAGGCCACTTCGCCTCCGTCCGACAAGCACAGGATTTCTCTGTTTAATGAAAAATTAATTACAGTTCGAAAACGCGATAATTGGACTGCAGGCTTTTTATGCAGTACTATATTGTTATACTATAATTTAACCCCTTAATGTACAGTTTTTTTTAAAAAGGCCGGCCAAAAAAAATCAATTTTTTTAAATGTAAAAAAACACAATTTAGAATGTTGTCTTGGCAAGAAAATTACAAAAATACAAAAATAATCAAAATTTTTATTGCAATTCTAATTTTCAGAATATTACTATTATTATTATTGTTATTATTATTATTATTATTGTTATTATATTTTACTTTACATTATATTTTAGTAAAATATATATTGAAAAATGAGCGAATCAGAATCTGAATATGAATACGCTGTCGGAAAGCGGCTCACAAGGAAGAGATAAGTCGTAAGTGATAAGTAGAAAAAGGATATATTTTATACTTGAATAAGTAAGTGTTATAGCTTACAATCCCATGTAAATGATAAATATCAATAAAACGATTGTTTTTTT